AACCTTAATTTTCTTTTTGAGGGAGTGCTCTTGTGACAACTTCAATATAAAAATGAAAAATTTAGTTGTAATAATATAAGCAGCAAAGTGTCACAAAATTATTAAATTCAAAGAATTTTATTGGAAGTAGTAATTACAGGAGTTTAAAAATAAACAAAACTTTCATTGAGACATTAATGTGAACTGTTTCTTTTCAATGTATACTAATAGAAAACTGCTTGGATTATTTTACATTTACAAAGTAAATGATTTTATTTTCGTAAGTTATTAAAAACGAGGAAATAGATATATGTGTATATATACATGAAAAAGCATTTTAAATAAATGGAACAAAGACAATTACAAAATAGGCACAAACTCTTCATATACATATCTATTATATGTTACATATATGATCTATAGATATATAAACTTCCAAAGCAGAATATGTATCAGACTACTAAGGAATAGTGAGGACACTTTCATGTCTTCCTTTGTACATGTCTATACTAATTTGTTTCTTGAGGAACTGGAAGGGGGAAGGTTTGGATATAATGATTGTGTATTATTTTAATAATCACCCTAAACAAAATATTCCTATTTTAAAGAGGTGAGGGGTGTCAAATGTAAGCAAACCTTGTCTAAAACAATAAATTTTTGGAATTTTACAAAATTTATCAGAACTCCAATAATGTACAAATCTAAACTATTTATGAAACATGACTGAAGGTCTAGATGGTCACAAAATAATACGTCACTGTAACTAACATTCACAAAATTTCTCAATTCAAATGTCCATAAATGAATAAATTCTAAATTCATAATCTTTTACATAAGAATAGGATTTTCCAACAGTACTAACAATCCAAAAAGGACTTCAGTGTACCTCTCTCCATTTTCTGGATAAGCAGAGGGTGAAGCTAGATCTTCAGCATCACGATTAACAGGAGAAAATAGGTTACTATTGTTAAGGTTCTTCAAAACCAACTTCTTAATGCTCTTCCTATAAACAGAAAAATGTCAGGTACACAAAGTTACGTCACAGGCCAAACTGAGGCCCAAACGGTACTCTGGTTTAACAAAGGATATACTTAAAATTGACAAAACAGGTTCATATTAAATACATATAAATGTTAAATAGAGGTGGATGCTTCAAAAAATTGTACTTTAGTGTTCTGAAGAATAAATCTAATGGTGCTCTGGACAGTCTTGAGGGGTGGACCAAGGTGTAACAGATTACAACAGAAACAGAAAAAGAGGGAAAAGAGATTAAATTAAGTATTTCATATGAAGAATAGACCCTGAATTAGAAGGCAATAAAACATGAAACATAGTGTCAGACAAAAAGAAAACTCCTATAAAAAATACCAAGTCAGAAAGTTAACAAAGATTGGATATGAGAAACCAAAGAAAAAGAATACATGATTATATTTACTTTTTAATTACGTTAATAAAATTAAACTCACTTGGGCATAAAGGCTCCATTGGCTAGGGATGGTTCATCATCATCCAACCCATCAAAGAGTTGTGACTTGGCTGTGCCCGTTGTCTGTAAAGCTTTTGGCCGGACTCTGGTGGCAGGGCGGGGTGTGAGCTTATAATGAGTGGGTGTAGTGAGAGCTTTCTGCGCTGCTGGATTTGTTGGTTTCAATCTCTGAAAACCGAAAAGAAAGTTCTGGTTTTACTCAAATGTACAGTATTGGCCTTAAAACCAAAAGTCCAGAGGCTCTGCAAGATATAAAGCATTGTTTCCTATAACACAAGTATATTAACATTTATCTTTGTATGTATGAGTGTTAATAGAACTGTCTTTTTTTTTTTTTAGAACTGTCTTTATAACTTTCTCTATGTGTAAGATTTTTTCCCATCTTACCAGCCCCCATTTCAAGTTTTATTTCAAAAGAAATCAACATACTGTATCTGAAAAGTGCCTTACAAGTTATAATGTACCAATATCTTATTTTTTATGCACCATGTCCAGTCTTTTCACCCAAGAGACCGAGCTGAAGTTCTGCTTTTTAAACATCAAACCAAACCCACTATTCCTGAGTTTATCTGACTCATAGTGAGCCTATAGTGTTCCGGAGACCATAAATCTTTATAGGAGCAGATAACCAAATCTTTCTCCTGGGGAGCAACTGGTGGATTTGACCTGCTAACTGTAAGTAAGGTCAACGTTTAGCCAATAGTGTCACCACAGCTCTTTGCTTTTTAAAAGTGCTGACATTAATTTTAAGTAGGAATATAAGGTATCTAAAGAATTCCTTGTCATACAAAGCATTTTTACAAAATAAAATCTTATGCTTGAAAAAAAAACCTCACGTAACTTCTACTCGGGATAGGAGGGGAAAAGAATATTTGCTTATATTTATCCTTCATTTAATAACTACAATGAGTCAAATAGTCCATAAATCTATAGAGGTACTAACTGGATTAATGGTTCCTTAGAGGTGTGGCAGATCAACTGTGGAGTAGGGGGTGGATGGGGAGCTACTAACAATGCATAAAAGAATAAAGATGTTCTCAAACAGATTATGGCGATGACTGTACAACTCTTCTTGATGAGAGAACTGTTGGGTTGTTGGATTTGTGAATTACATGCTAATAAAACTGTTGAAAAGGGAGAGAAATAAGTACCGTAGGTAAGGTCTTGGCCAAGACCTACCAATTTCTACAGGCCCATCGAAAAAGCTAAATGTTACCTTCCTGAACAGCATTATCAAAGCTCAAGGTACCTGTGTTTTCCTTTACACATTTTTGGTAGATAAAAGTATGTAATTCAGTAATTTACAATGCATTCACTATATCGTGAAACTATCACCACTACCTAAGTCTATAACATTTTTTTTTTCTCCCCCTTACTCTTATTGGGTGCTCTTTCACAATCCATACATTCATCCAGTGGGTCAAGCACATCGGCCGCCATCATCATTTTCAAAGCATTCTCTTCCCACTTAAGCCCTTGATATCAGATCCCCATTTCTTCCCCCTCCCTCCTCAGCCCACCCTGCCTTACTAACCCTTGTTAAGTTATAGATCATTATTTTCATATCTTACATCATCCTCCGTTGCCCCACTCCAACTTTTCCATCATTTGTCCCCCTGGGAGGGGGTTATATAGCTTGATCCTTGTGATCAATTCCCCCTTAGTCTAAAACATTTCTATCACCTGACAAAGAAACTCTATATATCGACCTAGAGTTAACTTAAATATTTACATGTCTCAAATTTCCCTGCACAATTGTTAGCTCTTAGGGTTTAAGTTCATATTTTCATTTTTGTACCCCTAGGGATGAACACAATGCCCACTACATAAGTTTAGCACATAAATTATGTTGCGTAATTTTTCATCTAATCACAACTTAAATGACTGAATAAGATTCTGTATAGTGAACAACTTACTATGAGACAAGTAATACATTACTATATTTATTCCTCAACCTTGAAGGTGCAACTAGTTCCATTTTAAGGAGAGAAAATTTCGAGATTCAGAGAGGTAAAATAATTTTACTCGGGGTCTCATAAGCTATTAAGTGGAAAAGCAAACCAAAGACAGTGAAAAAAGGACAATTCCTCTGCATCTAGAGCCTAAGAGATTAACATCGTTATGTAGAAATCAAGAAATAAAAGCATTCTTGGGAAAACCAATCAGCCTTCTTTTCCTGATCATCTATAAAATGAGAATAGGAGTTGCCTGCAGTTCAGAATCATGTCATTGTTTGTCATGTTGCTTTTCAGATATATAGATAAAGACATAATTTACCATAATATATATATATATAAAATCTAGCGCCTGGCACAGTGGAGAACATAAAATAGTTACATCCACGTTTGGTTACTTTCTTATACTATAAAGCTAATAAATTATATTCTACACATTTAGTTTCGCCTTTTTTGAGAAGAAATTTTACCAAAGCAACCATAGTTTTACCTCTTCTTTCTTCTTAGGGTCTGACATGGGATTCCGGAAGAGAGGGGAGTCTCCAAACGGTGAGTATGTGAGACTATTGATGTGTTGTTGAAGGACAGCTTGCTGGGCAGCAGAAGCATTTGGGTCTGTCAACGCTTAACAAAAGACAAAGAGGGAGATAAAATGTTAGCTCAAGGTCCCAGCACATTTACAAGAAGAAAGTTCAGAACTTTTGGGGACGTGATCTTCAAACTGTTCAGACCCCCTCAATAGCAATGCTGGAGAGGCAATACAAACCAAAGGAAATCAATAATCCAGTTAAGTGAATGGGTCAAAGATATAAACATTAACAGTTTTTTTATGGCCATTATCTCTATCACTGGCAAAGCTGTATAATAAAGTGTTAACCATCTTTGGCTTATTGAAACATTATAAATTGATTTAATCTGTCTATACAAAATGGCGGGATATAGAACAAATTCTGTTTTTATATGCTTTGACCTAGTAATTTCAATCACAGACATTTAAAACAAGGCCTTACTGCATATTGTCTGGAACAGTCAAGACATGGAAGAAACATGTGATCCACATTAAGTGAACAGTTGTAAAAATTAAGGCATATCCATTTAAAAATAACAATCATTTGTTTCACTGTGGCTATATGAAAATATCCTTAATTTATAAAGTAAAAAGACTAAGATTTTAAAAGTATATCCTTAAAAGCTAAAGAAAATAGCATATAAAAAAAACAAAAAAACTTTAGTGAGCTTATATATTTGTTATTCACATTTAGCATTCATATTATATTCATGCAACAATTAAGGAAAAACATTATATTTATGCAATGTAATATATAAGAAAAAAAATCACTCAATTGACCCCCAAATTTCTTTCAAAGCGTGAGTATTGACATTTGACATCTGTCACAGAGATTTTAGGGAACAGATGATACAAGCAGCAGCAAAAACTATATTCATAATCTCTAATTATATAGTTAATTTTAAAACATTCTATTCTTAGATTGAGACCCATGAGCCAAAATCTTCTAAAACATGACATCAAATCAAAATATTTAAAGGAAACTTAACCTATTTAAAACTTAAAAATTGTGCAACACACATACAACCCTCCCCATTATGAACTCCCAATTAACCTAAAAACCAGAACCCGCCAAAGCCCATTGTATTAAAATCTTGATATGAAAAGTTCTCGTAATAAGCAATGCTCTTTAGCATAAAAATATTATGTTAAGGATGTTTTCCCATTTCTGGAAAGGTTTTGCAACATTCCTGACCTTTACCAGTAGCTAAAGCACTCCAGTTTATAACCAAAAATGTCTCCAGATATTGCTAAATGATCCTGGGCAGTGTGTTCAAGGAGCAAGTTGATCCCCAATCATCCTATAAGAACCACTGGCTACTTGGGCATGCCAGAAAAAGAAGAGCATGAAGGAAAGAGCAGTAAGAAAATTTACATCACTGGAAGACACAGCACCAAGATAGAAAATGTCTACGCAATCACTGTGAAATTTCTGGACAAAGAGACCACCTTAAAGAAACAAGATTCAGAAATGCATTGAAATGTTCACCAGCAATCTTTAAAGCAAGCGGAACTTCTAAGAATAATTATTCTTACATCAAAATTCTATGACATTAATGTGTGATGAATGCCTAAAGAGATTTTTAGGCTGCAAGTATTTAAAGTTCTTCGTATATATAATTTATTCACATACATTATAAACATACTTCTCATATACAATTTACTTGAAAGTATTCCAGAAAATTCAGGAAATAAAGAGGAAAACCCTCTTTATCAAGGTAACACCAGCTCCTTCTGAGAATTAAAGGAAATATCCAGGAGCAATGCTGAAGTCCTAGAGAATATTATTACAGCGCAAGTTTTTATTACAACAAAAGGATAGAAAGATCAAAGAATGAAGTATCTGGGAGGAAAGAATTTTGATCCTGTGTCCATGCATATGTGGAACAGTTTAGGAAAGTAATAGATTAATAACCCAAGAGAATAAAAAGAATGATAAAATTATGAGAAAGAAAAAATGGCAGGAGGAAGCTGTATCTCTCTAGAAAGCATAGTTACAAGAAATTGCAACTTTCAACTGACCCTTTAAGCAAAGGATCTAAGACATATGGGAATAAGATATGGGAAAGGACATGCTATAAATTTTTTCAATATGAAAACATAACAATTGCAAAGAAGAAATGAGAGAAATTAAAGGGCAGGTAGTCACATTAGTATCCACTCTTGACAAAGAAGAATCAGAAATAGCATCTCCCAATTGATTAAATAAAAAAAATCATAGAAATATACAAGCAGTCCCGGTGTTATATTGGTTAAACATTCACAGCTGTCCACCAAAAGGTCAGTGGCTACAACCTGACAGCTGCTCTGTGTGAGAAAGATTTGGCAAATTTCTTAAAGATTACGATCCAAAATACCCACTGCCATCTCTGACTCATGGTGGCATTACAAAGGGTGTCTCAGGCGCTAATTCGTTTTCTTTTGGGGGGCGGGGGTGCTGGAAGTCTTTCTAGATGCAGATAGCTCATCTTCCTCCGGTAGAGCAGCTGGTGGGTTTAAACCACTGACCATGAGGGTAACAGTCCAATAGTATTACTCTGTCCCATAAGATCACTATGAGTTAGAATGAACTCGCCAGCTATAGCTTTTGCATGTTTTAAAAAAACAAACAAACAAATTACATTTGAAAAGGTTTCTCAAAATGTAGTATATATTATGCAGTACAGAAAATAAATTTAGCAGACTGTTATCTATCTTTTTATCCAGCTTTCCATCCATCTTTCTCAATGACATTTGTTATTTCCGGTAAAGTTCTCTTATTAAAAGTTATATTTAAAAGTTTATTTACTTAAATTACAATCTAACAATAATAGAGGTGTTGGGCACATGTCACAAAATGAGGAACATTTATTCAAAGAATGAAGTTTAAAAATACTTCAGTGTTAGGTCATATTGGGAGAATAAAGACGAGAGAGAGCAAGGAGTGAGCTACATTCTCACCGACCATAACAAATTAAATTTACTGTATCTTTAATAAAGCAAAGCAGAGCAATACGAGGAGGCTTCCAAAAGATTTGTATAAAAATAGAATTACCAAGAGAGAATCTTCCCATGAGCTTTTTGATCTGTATAAGCACATCATCTAGAGACATGAACTTATAGAGCAGAATTAGGGAGTAGGCCGGAAACTAGGGAAAGGGGAGCCTATTATAAGCCCTTTAATACGATACAATCATTAACAGGCATGGATGAGGGGGCTTCAAATAGTGGGAAAATTCTATTATCTTTCACTCCATTTCCTCGACAAACTTTATGAAGCTCCCTCATATGTGTCAGTTGCATGGGAGGAACAAAGGAGGAACAGAAAAAAGTCAGTAAGTATTAGCGAGAAATAAACTAGTAAAGCCTTCTAAAGTGACTGACACTTACCTACTGGGACCTGAGGGGCTCCAAAGCCCAAAGTAGCTGTCGTGGTATTAAATCCAGGGCCCCCAAAGGCTCCTGTACCCAAAGGCCCTCCGATCTTAGGCTGGTTGTTCCCAAACAAAGATGCCTGTCCAGCACCAAGAGCTATGGAGACAAGAGGAAAGAAAAAAGTGCCACAGGAGATCCTTTGAATGTCGTGCTATACACGTCAGTTACTTAGAAATACAACACATTTGGTGACTTCAAAATGACCATCACTTCAACAAAAAAGAGCTACTATAGTCAATACTATTTGCTAGGGACTCTACTATAAAAGTGCCTTACATACATCATAGGCAAAATATTTTATCTTCTTGATGCCTTAAATATATAGCAGATAGCATTATAGAACCTAGAGGTTTATTCTGAGATTAAGATGAGTAATACATGTAAAGCATTTAGAAGAGGTCTGACATACACTAAACATTATATATGAGCTGTTAGTATCTCAATCTTCACTAGTCCCTGAACTGGTAGTTATTATCCCAATTTCACAGATGAGAAAACTGTGGGGTTAATATAATTATTTTATTGTAACATATGCATTAAATGGTGAAGCTACAGTTCACATCTATGTATGTATCTAACAATAAATAAAACTGCTACTCTACATACATCACAATATATTTGCAAAAAATTAAATGATTGATTTTCCATAAATATCCACACATGCCCATCAGAACATTCAGATGACCTAATCACTGCTTCCATTTTGACTGACATAGTCTACGCTATACACAAAACCAACTCTTAACTAATCTTTAAAAACATTCAGACTGTTAAAGCTAACTATGTCCTGTAAATGGTTTCAGCTAGACCGTAGCATATATGCCTTACAAAAAGCTAAATGTCCTTTGAAAAGGTTACTACCTAAATAGTCTTGTTTTGGAATGAAGCGACTTTGATAGAATGAGAACTAATTTTTCTAGAGGAGAAATGTATTGCAGAATGCCGTGTAAATGTTTATGCTTTGTCAGCAATTATTTTAAATGGGGAAAAATTAGTGAGCATAAATAACTGCAGTTGCAGCTTGGCAAAGACATGATATACCAAGGAAAACTACTTCACAGATATAAAGACTTAGAAATAAAATATATATATGGAAATTGCTGAGATCACAACTTGGAAAATAAACCCACAGTACCATAGTGAATGATGGGGAGAGTGCAGAGTGGAGACCCAAAGCCCATTAGTAGGCCACTGGAGATCCCCTTGCAGAGGGGTCTCGGGGAGGAGATGAGCCAGT